CAAGTGAAAGACCTGTATGACAAGAACTTCAAGTCCCTGAAGAAAGAAATCGAAGAAGATCTCAGAAGATGGAAAGATCTCCAATGCTCATGGATTGACAGTATTAATATAATAAAAATGGCCATCTTGCCAAAAGCAATCTACAGATTCAATGCAATCTCCATTAAAATCCCAACTCCATTCTTCACAGAGTTAGAAAAGGAAATTCTCAAATTCATTTGGAATAACAAAAAACTCGGTGTAGTGAAAACTATTCTCAACAATAAAAGAACTTCTGGATAAAAGAATCCCTGACCTCAAGCTGTACTACAGAGCAATAGTGATAAAAACTACATGGTATTGGTACAGAGACAGGCAGGAAGATCAATTGAATAGAATTGAAGACCCAGAAATGAACCCACACACCTATGGTCACTTGATCTTTGACAAAGGAGCTACAACTGTCCAGTGGAAAAAGGACAACATTTTCAACAAACGGTGTTGGTTCAACTGGAGGACAACATGTAGAAGAGTGCAAATTGATCCATTCTTTTCTCCTTGTACAAATCTCAAGTCTAAATTGATAAGGGGCCTCTACATAAAACCAGATACATTGAAACTAATAGAAGAGAAGGTGGAGAAGAACCTTGAATACTTGGGCACAGGGGAAAAGTTCCTTAACAGGACACCAATGGCATATGCTTTAAGATCAAGAATTGCCAAATAGGACCTCATAAAATTGCAAAGTTTCTGTAAGGCAAAGGACACTGTCAATAGGACAAAATGACAACCAAGAAACTGGGAAAAGATCTTTACCAATCCTACATCTGATAGAGGGCTAATATCCAATATATACAAAGAACTCAAGAATTAGACTCCAGACAACCAAATAACCCTATTAAAAAGTGGGGTATAGAGCTTAACAAAGAACTTTCAACTGAGTTTCAATTGAAACTCGAATGTCCAAGAAGCACGTAAAGAAATGTTCAGTATCCTTAGTCATCAGGGAAATGCAAATCAAAACAACCCTGAGATTCAGTCTCACACCAGTGAGAATGCCTAAGATTAAAAACTCAGGTTTTTAATCCTCCATTGTTGGTGGGACTGCAAGATGGTGCAACCACTTTGGTGCACCATCAGTCTGGCAGCTCCTCAGAAAACTGGACATAGCATTACCTGAGGATCCAGCTATACCACTCCTAGGCATATACCCAGAAGATGCTCGAACATATAACAAGGACATATGCTCAACTATGTTCATAGCAGCCTTATTTATAATAGCCAGAAGCTAGAAAGAACCCAGATGTCCTTCAACTGAGGAATGGATAAAAAAAAAATGTGGTACATTTACACAATGGAGTATTACTCAGCTATTAAAAACAATGAATTCGAGAGTTTCCTAGGTAAATGGATGGAACTAGAAAATATCATCCTGAGTGAGGTAAGCCAATCACAAAAGAACACACATGGTATTCACTCACTGACTATTGGATATTAGCCCAGAACCTTGAAATACCCAAGATTCAACTCACAGACCACATGAAGCTCATGAAGAAGGAAGACCAAGTGGGGGTGATTCAGTCCTTCTTAGAAGGAGCAACAAAATACTCAAGGGGGCAAATATGGAGACAAAGTGAGGGACAGAAACTGAAGGAGGGACTGTCTGAAGACCATTCCACCTGAGTATCCATCCCATGTGCAGTCACCAAATGTAGATGCTGATGTGGAAGTCAGGATGTGCATGCTGATAAGAGCCTGATATAGATGTCTCCTCAGAGGTCTGCAAGAGTCTGACATACTATTCAGAGGCAGATGCTCACAGCTAGCCATTGAACTGATCATGGGGTTCCAAATGGAGGAGTTAGAGTGTAGACTGTTGAAGGTGAAAGGTTTTGCGGCCCTATGAGGAGAGCAACAATACCAACTAACCAGAGCTCCCAGGGTCTAAAGCACCAGCCTGGGAGCACTTAGGGAGAGATCCATGGTTTCAGCTGTATATGTAAGGGTGGAGGGCCCTGCTGGGCATAGGTGGGACAAGAGATCCTTCGTCTCAAGAAGGCTGGATGCCCCAGGGGCTGAGAATTTGAGGGTGGGGAGGTGGGAGTGGGGGGGTAGGTAGCAGTACATCAGCAGAGAAGCAGGAGGAGGGGTAAGGGGATAGGGGGTTCCTGGGTGGGTGGGTGGGGGATGGGATAAGGGGATAACATATGAAATGTAAATAAAACATTCAATTTAAAAAAAGATGCCACAGTTACTGTTACATATCAGAACAAAGCTATATGTATATATGAAAGTCTATATATTTAGATGAGGAAAAATCAAAACAAAATAAACAAACAAAAAGCAACAACAATGAATTAGTTTTAATATTAATCTAAGTAATAAATTAATCTGGCAGCTGTGTTTCTTTACCCTCAGTAGTTCGCAACAACCACAAAGAGAGTTAAGATTTATTAAAATAGTCTTGAGCCAAATACTAAGCAAATATTATTCAATGCTAAACCTGCAACCTGGTCAGAATTCCTCCAAGACAATACCTTTACATTATTTGCATTTTTCTGTCCTTTTTTTTTTCCAACTCTCTTCTCCTGATGCTTCCTGGACCACTCCCCATGGCTCCATTCCTTCTCTTCCTGTCTCTTTCCCCATACCTCCTAGAATAGGAGGTCCCACCTTCTCCTCTCTAAAGCTATTTATTGGCTCATTGGCTTTTATTGATGAGGCAGAGAATGAATGAGGAACAATTTTTACACAAACATGAGATGAGTTCCTAAGAATAAATATAACAGAGCTAAGTCTGGATTGAACACAGAAAGCAGGATAGAGAACCAAGCATTAGAAATAACTCCAGGGTAAACTTTGCACAATATTACACTTACAGGCTAGAGCACATTCACGGGCTTGCCAGGCAAACATATACAAGAATCATTGCACTAGATTCTTTTAGTTTAAGCTGTTGTTGAACGGGCTGGCATTGTTGTCTCCATTTTGTTGTTGGCTTGAAGACAAATCTAGCCGTGAAGCATGGGCTGCCTTCAAAACCTTAGTTTCTTCTGCCCAAGTCACAGCTATGCTGGTTAGTTTCTTGTCAACTTGACACAGCATCTGGGAAGTTAGACTTGGTAGTAACCAGGAAGAGGAAAGTTCAACCCAGGAAATATCTCCATGTGGTGGCTTTGTTCTTGACTAATGATTGACATTGGAGGGCTCAGTGGAGGGCCTCATTGTAGGAGATATCACCTCTGGGCCTGTGATCTTGGGATGCATAAGATATCAGCTGAAAAGCCACATGGACCAAGCAAGGAAGGACCACTCACTCACGGCCTCAGCTTCACTTCCTGTCACAAGGTTCCTGCACTGAGTTTCTGCGCTGGCTTCACTCAGTGATGGACCATGTTTGGGAAATGGAAATCAAATAAACCTTTTCCTCCCAAGTTAGTTTTAGTCAGTGTTTAATCACAGCTATAGAAACCTAAGGAAGATAGCAGACAAAGAGTACTCTGTCCAGCAAGACTCCCTCCTGATTGGTCTTCCCTTGTCCTTGAGCAACAGTCTCTGGACACATCACATATTCACCATCTTGTTTGATCTTTTCTGTCTGTCTGTCACCACTGAGAAGAGATCTGTTCCATCTAGTCTGATCCCATGCTAAGGAAAAAAAGTGCCAGTTGTCAAGGAGCCAGTGTAAAGAAAACTCTCCAGTCAGTTTTGAGCAACTAGGAGTTACCGCAGGAATAGCTCTTAGGTCAGGCCTACCTGGAGTCCATTCATGGAGTAGATTCTGTCTCTCCTGTGGGTGATGTCCTACCATCTCAAATTGTTCTCAACTTCTTTCTCTGTATAACCTGTTTCCTCATAATGTTAACAGACATCAGCTAAAAAGTTCACAAGAAAACAAAGGACAGTGTCAACATTTATTACTTTCTTTTAATTCCTCTGAGTGTTTTGTAGCCTGTCTGTATGCAATTCCTGTAGAGGCCAGAAGAGGGAATGGGACCCCCTGAACTGAATTAAGTCAGGTTGTGAGCCTTCATGTGGGTGCTGGGAACTTAACCTGGGTCTTTGTAAGAGAAACCACTGCTCCAAACCTCTGAGCCTTCTCTATAGCCCCTAATTGCAAACACTTACAGAAAACTGCAGGTGTCCACCTTGGGTGCTCAGTACATTTCAACTATTTAAAGTTTCTGCTTGAATGCACCCTGCCAAGGCATGCTAGGTTACCTCTGTTCAGAGATTCATGGAACATTTGTGACACCTCACACATTTAGTGCTGGTGACAGGCAAACTATTTTTAGGGTCAAAATTATATCATAAATACACAATAGCATACTTGTTTGCTCAAACAGAGTAGGAATAGAGAGGACAACCTGAATGTCAATTTTTCATCTGAGTGGCATGGAAGAGGAAAAGCAGAAAGGCCCAGAAAACTTCACTGGCCATTCTGTAGGTTGAGAGTCCAGGTATAATGCAGACTTTCACATATTCATAAAATAGCACTCACTGGTTTCTTATCACCTATTAAGCTTACACAGAATCATATAAACTTGTGCAAGAAATATAAAGTTCAGATACACAGCCTCACCCATTGCTAGTCACAGAGACATAGGGTATTAAAGCAGTTGCTTATAGAAATCTTTTCAAATATCTCAACAACAGATAGTTAAACAAAGCTTGATAAGATAATTTCTAAATAGCCAAAAGCCTTGGAAGATCAATGCAAACCTAAATGATTGGGTTTTTTTCCCTTTAAAAACATTCCTATTGTTTCTTTGTAAATTTCACAATATACTCTTTTTGCCACACTTTTTTGCTTCCAAGGGTTCATTGCAAGAGTTTGTTAAGCTGGTTGGAGGCCTCTGGCTTCTGACACTCTATCAATATTGGAACCTCATTGGGACTTCTCTAAGACATACTGTTCTTGCCCTGTGTTACAGAGATCTTGTAGTTCTGGATCAGTAGAACCAGCCCCATCATGCACTCCAGCAGTTCATTGATGATGTAGATGAGCCAATTCAAAGCCCTGGATTAGGCTACTTATCATCCAGGTGTTGACAGGTCAGAACACTGAGGATAGACATAGCCTCTCGCCTCTCTGTTACCTCCTGTTGCACAGGTGACACAGCAGCCACATCTGCAATGTCTCTAGTGGTAGGAGGGTTTTTTTAATTAAATTATTTATTTATGTGTGTGTCTCACAGGCACAATCATGGGTATGTGAGTATGTGTGCACATATGTGCGTGTACCGGCCAGAGGGCAGCAGCCCCAGGTGTTATTCCTCAGGTGCTATTTTGGGGGCCAAGATGCCTCACTGACCTGAGACTGCCTAAGACTGGACTTGCTGGCTAGTGAGCTCCATGAATCTACCACTCATAGTTCCCTATCTATCACAAGTCCAGCTTTTGTCTGTTTGGTTACAAGTGGGCTCTGGATATCAAACTCAGGCCCTCACATTTACATAGTGAGTGCTTTATCCACTGACCCATTCCCTTAGCATCCAATTATCAGACCAGCCTGGATCATTTTCCATCATCTATTCTTTCAGTAAAAGATGTAGTGGGAAGGCTATACCTTCCTTTGAACCTTCAAAAGGCCAATCAACTAATGAGCTTTAATAACTGCAAACAGGTGGGTCTGGTGGGAGGCCAGACCCAAATTATCTTCAAGCATCTGTAGCACCTGTCATAGTTACTCATTAATGTCTTCTCTTTCCAATCCAACATTTTTGTGACCATTGGGTAACTCTTTGGAAAGTGCATACAGAGCACTAGTTTCTAACAAATCATTAGCTGAGGATGTTGTCAGCCCTCATCTGAGGCCTACAGAACCCCTGCTTTGCTTTAACCCACCTTCCAAATGTTTCCATCCCTGTATGTGACAGGCACCTCATTTATGACTCTTCATTGTGTTACTGTAAACATTCCATGAAGGAGTCGCCACATTGGAACATGGAATTTGGGGGAATGTTGTAGGGGATTGGTTCTAATGCATTTATTTAATCAGAAATCTAAGTGTTCAAAAGGTGAAAGTCCTTGTCTCCAATTGGTTTTTGATCAATCAATAAAAAAGGCGAAAACCAATGACTGGGTGGAGAGATAAAGAGTGGCCAGACATCTAGTTTCCCTAGGCTAGAACCCAAGAGAGAGGAAGAGAGAATTGCCACGATGTGGTGGGAAACAGATCAGGTTTAGAGCTCCAGGAAAGCCAACAAGTGCACCACTCCACCAATTGGGCCTGGGGTAACCGGCTGAGGTTTAGAACTGCCCAACCATTGAGATAGATGACATGTTAAAAATAAGCTTGTGTGTGTGTGTGTGTGTGTGTGTGTGTGTGTGTGTGTGTGTGTTTGTGTGTGTTCAGGGAGCTGATGGCCTGTGGCTGGAGGAGCACAACCCTCCAGAAACATAAACTGGAGTACCCAAATGACATGCTACAGAAAGTTACATCTGTATTGTTCAGCCATAGACACCCATATTTGGTGTCAATAATTTACATCAAATTACATATTAAGATATTCAGTCTCATAATATTTACAATAAAATTCGAATGGACCAGTATTGGTACGAGACACTTTAAGATCAAGTTCTCAGCACAAAGGAGATTTAGTTGCCACATAAGGCCTGGGCAGAGATAAGGAACAAGACAGGAGATGGGGGATGAAGGAGAGGAGGAAGGCAAACAAGGGAGAGGGGGAAGGGATATTTTCCCCAGAGGAACAAAGGACTGTCTCTGCATAGAGAGGATAATGAATGGCCCATAGAAAATGGTGGTTTATAAAGGTGAAAGTTGAAATCTCATGTCAGGATGAGGTGTTTAATTTTAATTGGATATGTTAATTAGGGCAGCCAAAGTAAGCTTTTCATTCCTGGACTTCAATGCTTTGACAGGTGGACATTAGTAGTCAATCTCAGGAGGGGGAAGTGGTCAAATAAGGGAACATATCTTGGAGACTAGCTTTAGGAATACAATCTAGAGGTTTTTAGCAGGGCAGAGGGAATGGGGGAGAAGGGCAAGTCCAGTAAGAATCATGCTTGCCATGCTGAGGCCTATGAGAGCTCTTTCAAAATGTATTTTTCACGAGCAATAATCTTAACAGAAAGTGTTTCCATTTCAGCATGGATAAAATATATGTGTTCGTATGAACCAAAGCCCAGAAATCATGTAAAACTGATGTCTACCTATGGGGTACTTCTAGATTAAACTTTTGAATTTATATTTGAAGTCTGATGGTCAAAAAAAACAAGCTTAGGCCTTTTCACCAAGATGGCACCAAAAGTGAAGAAAGATCCTGCCCTCCCAAAGCTGAAGCCAAAGCAAAGTCCTTGAAAGCTAAGAAGGCAGTATTGAAAGGTGCCAAGAGCCACAAAAAGAAGATCCTAAGGTCACTCACCATCCAATGGCCCAATATACTTTGGCTCCGGAGGCAGCCAAAATATTCTCGAAAGAGTGCACCCAGGAGAAACAAGCTTGACAATTATGCTATCAACAAATTCTCATGGACCACAGAGTCCAAACATGAAAAAATAGAGGCCAACAACACACTGTGTTCATTGTGGATGTCAAGGCCAACAAACACCAAATCAAACAGGCTGTGAAGAAACTCTATGACATTGATGTGGCCAAAGTCAATACCCTGATAAGGCCTGATGGAGAGAAGAAAGTATATGTTCAGTTGGCCCCTGATTATGATGCTCTAGATGTTGCCAGAAATATTGGGATCATCTAAACTGAGTCCAGATGACTAATTCTAAATATACACTTTTGTTTTCACCATAAAAAAAGAAAGTTTAAAAAATTTCTTAGCACTTAAAAATATTTTACCAATTTAATCACCCTTCAAATTCACAATATTAATCATCGTTCCAGCATAGCCCATAACAGGTTAACTTCCACAGCCTCCGTTTCCAGAATTAATATTTGAACGAGCAAAATCCAAACCATTGCAACAAGGTAGAATCTTAAAACTCACATTTTAAACAGGTAACACTTTAGTGAGGTTTGTCTGAGGGAGTCTCTTATAACCAGTGTTCCTGCTGTCTTAATTCTACAGGAAAGACTAACTTTTTATGCCTTAGCTAAACACTCTTTTAAAGGAAAAGAAAAAAAAACTAGACAAAGGCAACAGTTCTTATATATGAAATAGGTAATCTAAAATCATTCCCACCCATCCACATTCATCACCTTTGGGTGATGCAGAGGCAGGAGGATTTCTACAAGTTTGAGGCCAGACACACATGGTGAGATGTTGTCTATAAAGCAATACAAAAATGTGCACATCCACACACTTCTAGTGAGGATGCCAACAATAAGAGTCTTGGTGCACAACAAATTCAGAAAAGAAGTATGTGGCTGAAGGGGCCACAGGTTTGCAGTGAAGAAGACAGGTACCCAGGGAAGATAAGTTTTGCCCCATGCTGTGGGAAAAAATAAAGCAGTGGTGGTGGAGGAGTCCCGGAGACTTTCCACGCTGACAGGTCCCACATACAGAAGAAGATCTATGGTTCCAGAGGCTGGAGGCATTGGCAACTGCAGGCCCCAATGACATGAGGAAGTCCTTGGTTCTGAAAGGGTTTATTATCATGGCAGATGGTGGATGGATCTGGATGTACCCTCCCCAAAAAAAAAAAAAAAACTCAGGCCAGACCTGAGTTAAGTAGGGAGGGAGAAAAGGGGAGGTTCTGGGGAACAATGCTTAATTTACTCAACCCGCTGGCCTTCATTAGCATGTAAATCCCTAGAGCCTGAGGCCTATGGTCACACCCTATACCTGTGCACTTTGGAAGGGGCTGTAATGGCCTACATGACTGAACAATGTAGGTCTATGAAGACAAAACTGTGCATCAGGACTCTGGGTTCTGGGGATGTGACCGAACTCCTGACGTTTCTCACTTAAGAGTCTCGGGGTTCCAGGCCCACGACCAACCATGAACCAGGATACTCTTACGCAGTCCCACACCATGCTTCTTTAGAAACATCTGAAACTTCATCTAGACTTTTCCCTGGGGGTACTATGGTAGGACAGACAGTAGTCCAATTGTTACAAAAAAAACTCAATGCAGGTCGCCCTAACACCCTTGTTACTGTCCCAAGTGGTTCAGCAGAATTCCTTGTACTCCACAGAGAACAAAGAAAAAAAGTAAACGTGGTTAAAGCTTCTAGATTTTACTTTGGGCATAATATGAGGGGTTTTTTCTTTTAAATGACGGGTGTGTGTGCGTGTGTGTCTATGCGTGTGAATATGAATGTGTGTATATGTGAATGTGTGTGTCTGTGTGTATGTGAATGTGTTTGTGAGTGTGTGTATGTCTGAGTCATGTATATGTGTGTCTTTGAGTGTGTATCTATGTGTGTATTTGTAAGTATGTGTATGTGTGTGTCTGTGTAAGTATTACTATGTATGTGTTTGTGAGTATGTGTGTGTGAGTTTGTGTGCGTGTTAGTGTGAAAATGTGTATGTGTTTCTGTGTGTGTGTCTGTCTTTGTGTGTGTCTGTGTGGCCATGGAAACATGAACACAGGTGCCCAAGGAGGCCAGTGGTGTCAGTCTCCCTAAAGCTGAACCTATAGGCAATTGCTAGCTGGACTTATAGGCAGTTGTGAGCCTCCTAACATGGGTTCTTGGAACCAAACTCAGATCCTCTGCAAGAGGAATGTGCACACTTAACCACTAAATTAAAAATAAAAGAAAAACTAATTTAAAGGACAAGATATGAATAATTAAACAGTTCTGACCAAGCTGTTGTCTCCTCAATCATGGCTTGATTCTGGTTCTACAAGACATTTCTGGTTGCTCAAGGGCACATTTTGCATGTAAGAGGTGAGGGCTCCTGCTCTGGGGACCACTCTGCCTGTCTGATAATTGCCATCCTCTGGGACTTTACCCTGTATTCTAAGGAGTAAAAAGCCAACTGACTTATCTCTGTGTTTTTATATATGTTGTATTGTAGCTTGCTTTCTGATGCTGTAATAAGCACCGTGACTTGAAGTATCCTAGAGAGGAAAGGATGTAGTTGGATTATGTGGCCAGGTCACAATTCAGCACTAAAAAAAATAAAGATAGACTAAGGCAAGTTCCTGGAGGAAGGAACTGAAGTAGACACCATGGGGATAAAACTGTTTACTGGCTTACTCCCATGTTCAGGGTCAGCTACATTTC